AAATTTGTCTGATTTCATCAGTAGAAATACTAATGTTCATTCCCTTCTGCTTTTCGTGCAAATCTTTTTGCGGTTGCTCGTTAATGAGTTCCTCGAGGTATTTTCCCTTCGCCAGAGAATGTAGATATTGTCGGTAAGGGATCTGCTTTTCAAGACTCTTAGACTCTCCTTCTTTTTACCTCGGAACCGGCGCATAGTCTGCCAGAATGCCTTGTTGGCTGTCTGAAAAATCGGCTGCTATACCTCGCCGAACTTCCACCAGGAATCAACTTTGGCTTTCGCCACTGCTTTCGTTGCCGCCCTGCGCGCTTTTACATACCGCATGCACGTTTAAGGCTCTTTGCTTCCAATCCGTTTCTTGAACGCAGCCTCCTTCTTTTTAACTGCCCGTTGTACCACTCGTGTCTATCAGGAGGTTCGTTTCTGGCCCTCAGGTGGCAGGCTAACCTTTGTTAAACCGCAGCATTCGACCGTAGCAGACTACTCTCAAAGCGCTTCCACTCGATTTGCACATCAGCGATCATCGCCGCAATCGGTTCAAACCGTCGTGCAACGCAGTTTGCAAATTTCGCCCTCGTATCCACTGAACACTTTGTTTCCCATTTAATTTTCTGGTTGCTTCTGCCAACAGATGGTCGCATGATATTCCATTTCTCACAGCGTAGCGTGCCAACAAGGTGGTGATTAGTTGACAGCTCTGCGTCTCTCTTAACGCGAACATCCATTACAGAGAATCGTAAGTAACACGATATGATTATCAAGACGATCATCGACTTCTGTGCACAAGCTTCCCGGTACCAGGTGTACTGATGCACTCTTCGATACTCGAAGAAGGTGTTCATAATGGACAGTTCGTTGTAACCACAAAGCGCAGCAACTCTATGTTTTTGTTGTTGAGATCACCAGGGCCGTTCTTTCCAATCAGTTTTTCTACTTCTCAGCGTCTACTGCAACATGTGCATTAAAATCTCCCATGAATATGAGGGAATCTGCATTCGGTTCTTGGGACAGAGCGTTCTGCACTTCCTCAGGGAAGGTATCATATTCTTCCTCCAAATTGGGCCCATAGATCTGTACCAAGGTCAACGCTTTAGCCTGTTATAGCTTCAGTCGGGATTGCCGCCCTTCTTCTGATAGGCTTCCATCCAAGATTTTATCAGCCAGGTTGGATTCTATCAGAGCACCAACTCCGGCCTGAGCGCGCGTCGTGATATCGACACCTGAGTAGAATAGCCTGTACCCACAGAGTTTCAGGATTTCAGAGCCTTGGCGCTTCTTTGACAAGAGTCCAACGATGTCGAGTTGGTACTTTATGGCCTCATCAACTAGATCTTGCTCTTTCCCTCTGAGTAAAAATATATTCCAATTTCCGCTGTAAGCTCCCAGTGGCACGGGATTGATGGCAAGTTGCTGAGGGCCATCCAGTCATTGTATTCTGATAGCAGGTGCTGTGTCAGA